TTTTTTTTTTTTTTTTTTTTTTTTAATAATGCTTCGACCCTCCAGGCCTCATGGAGCCCAACCACCATCCAGGAGTCTGATGTTTACACACTGCAAACACTCGGAGGTGAAGCAGGATGGAGACAACCCTGAGCGGGTGAGGAGGAGCCCCGAGTGCGGCTCCATCAGCACGGCAATAAACAGGAACACTCAGCCAGGTGTGTCACCTGCCCCTCACCGACACACACAGCACATTTTGGATACGTTTGGGAAAGGGGAGAGGCACTGGGATGGTTGAGGCTGTGCCTGTCCCCAGAGCAGCTCGCGGTGGCCCTCGCCTCGCGGCTGTGCTGGCCGCAGCCATCCGGAGCGGGACATCCACGGGGGAGCCTGGTGCCAGAAGGTGACACACATCCCTCAGCACATCCAGGACAGCCAGCTGGGATGGTGAGCCTGAGATGGACCCAAGCTCCAGGCCAGGGAGGGCACAGCGTGGCAAGCACAGGAGCTTCTGCACCTCCGAGTGACAGCACCCACCGAGCTCCAGCCCACGGCCAGGGTGACACCGTGATCTCCACTCCTCAGCTCTGCCTCTGCTCTTCCTGAAAAGCTCAGTCTGTCCTGCAGAGAAGCTTGGGAAGCAACCGTGTCCACAGGCTCCAGTAGCAGCAGGAGCAGAGCTGCTTCCAAGAGCCAAAAGTTCTGATTTCCATGAAATTCAGCAGTGCTGAACTCCACACTGGGAGGGGACTGTGGGCCTGGTTTAGGACTAAGTGCTCTCCATGGCATCAAGGACCTGAAAGATGAATCTCAGCCAGGGCTGACCTGGGAGGAGCAGAGCCAAGCCTGGGATCCCTCCTGCTCTGACCACGGACTGCCACCCCTCAGGCAGCCTCTCCATGGGATTTAAGCAAACACACACTAAAAAGTTTTTAGGAAATCTTCCATGGATTGTCCTCTTATTTTCAGGTTGCTTAACGCAGAAGGTTGGTCCTGCAGATGAATTTAGGCAGAATTACCAAAGACCCCTCTGCTGACCTAAGGTAACAGTTGAGTAACATCCTGCAGGCAGCCAGTGGGACGCTGTGGATTCATTCACAAAATTAAACAAATGGAAACTCCTCTGCCCACTGTAACCCAGAATGTCACACACGTGATTGCAAAGGTGCTTAAAAATCTCTGACTTAAACACTGATGGTGTAGAAAACAACAACACCCCTCCCCTGCAGGGATAAGAGGGGGAGTGACCTGCTGCAGGACCCCACCTGTGTGGGGCAGGGATGGAGCTCTGCACCCAGAGCCTCTCTCTGTGCCATGGGTGCAGAGGGTGCTGAGGCCACCACAGGAACTGAACTGACCCCATTCACCCTCCCGAGCTGCACGGCCACTCTGGGAAGTTTATCCTCACCCGAAGGAACAAACCTGCCTGTAGCTGATTTTGGATTTTCCCCACCTGTTCCTCTCTGTGCTCAGCTGGGAAGGTTTTGCTCGGGCTGAGCAGAATTAGCAGATTAGCTCAAGGGGGAAGAGCTGCTCCCCCACCCCGTCATGGAACACAGTTTGTCTGTATTTTGCTTTTTTCCATGATGTAAAGAAACAAGAGAGTGACCCCAAACGAAACCAGGTGATTTGTCGTACTTTGACTCGAGTAAAGATATGCAAAGAATTTATCATTCATTTTCACTTTTTCACAAAAAAGGTGAAAAATTAGGGATGAAAGCTGCCAATGCAATGGGCACCAAATTCTTAATAGTTTGCTGCTCAAATACCTTGGGCAGAGGACAGACTCAAGTGTGGGGCAGCTTCCCAAAGCTAATGACATGCTTTCTGTATTCCTTTGCAAATCCTTAGGCTTGTCAGAGTGGCAGATTTTATGTTTCCCTTGCAGATTTCTAAGCTCTAAAAAAAACCATCAGAGATGAAAACAAAGCCTGAAACTGGTTTTAAATGTCCAGAGAGTAAAATAACACAGAAATCAGCATTCGTTTTGCTTCTTGGCAGAGTTTTAAAAAATAAATAAATATTGCCAGCACCACAAACCCAACTAATTTATTGACACCAGCCTGATTTGATTTTACTCACAAATGTGACAGGTGAGCATCTGGAACTACTGGTGTACTGCCAGCCAGATCAAACCCTGCAGATGAAACTTTTCCTTCTGTCCCTACACCCCCAAACCAGCCACGAACTGCAGCCAGATTCCTGCATCTACTTGATGGCATTGTGTGGAAGTTTTTGATCATTGGAACGCTTGGCATCCAATAAGGGAATGTTCTGCAGTGCCCAAAACAAGTCAGAGGAGCTGCTGGGACCCAGCCTGGTGCAGAGCCTTCCCCCTGGCCCTGCTCACTGTGACCTGAGGGGACGTGGATGATCTCAGCCCTTCCTGGGGACCTGGGCCAGCTCACCCAGGAGAGATCCCAGAGCCTCTCCCGTGCCTCCCTGTGTGCTCCTGGAGCCCAAAGCCATGTGTGGTCATGCCAGAGGAGGAGCAGCCAGCCCAATGGCTCACAGCCCCGTGTTGGGAGATTGGGAAGGCACAGACCAAGCCTCAAAGCCTTCTGTGAGATCCTGACCTGGTTGGGACAAGCAACAACTCACGTGTGAAATCATCTGACTTCCAGCGCTGCTTAACTCGGTTCCTTTCTTCACTTGGGCAGAGAGACTGGAAAACTGAGGAGGAAATACAGAAAAAGTAGGTTTGGGTTATTAAACTGTTAAATCGAAACTGTTGTCACCTTGGCTCACCATCCACTTATCACTTGCTTTTTCACTCCAACTCTCCCGTGAGACAGAGCAGGGACAGCCAGCAGCTCCCTGGGCAGGAATTTGTGTTTGGAGTCACCCAACAGCACTTGCCAGGTGTGACGTGAAGGGGACACAGCACAGACAGATGGAATATGCAAAGGGAGCCAGCTCTGGGCACCCCCTGCTCCACTGGGTGCTGGCACAGAGGCTCTCGGGGCAGGTCACAGCAAAGGGACATCGTGGATCTCGGTGGCTTCACCCAGTGTTCACCCCAGCACCAAGAGACTGTGGGGTACAACAGACCCCAGAGTGCTCGGGGCTGGCAGGGCAGGGGCATTCCCAGGCATTGGCATCACGAGCCCTCTGCTCTGTACCTTACTTTGACATGTTTCTCAAAAAAAAGAAAAAAAAAGGAAAAAAAAGAAAAAAAAAAAACAAAACAGAAAAGAGTGGGAAAAAGGAAAAAATAGTCTCCGTGACATTCAGGGGATTTTCCTTTGTGGACATGCAGAATTTCTATGAATATAGTTTTTTGTAAACATTTTGTAACAATTTTGGTTTCATAGTAACTGTGTTACTTGCTGATCATTCTAGGCCGATGTAAATACAATTTCCAAAAAATAAAAAAAAAAAAAATAAAAATAAAAAATTCTGATTATTTTCCTTTTTAAGACACTGTGATATATCAAAGTGCACAGTTTGCTGTATGAAGTAATATGGTTTTAAATTTTAAATAAATAATTTCTAGAAAATATGAAGTTTATGCCTGTTTATACTCAACACCTCCCTTCCTCCTTGCTCAGATTCTGTCCAAAACTCACATTGTTTAACAACATCCCAACTTTATCAGCCATACAGCTGGTGATGATAAAAGCAGTGATGATAAACCGAACCCAAACACCTGGGAAAAGCTGCAGGTGCTGCTCGTTTGGGGCAGGTGATGATCTCAAGAACAACACATGGAAAAGAAGGCAAAGCTCCAATTTTGGCCAGAGGGAGGGAAGCAACAATGAGGCTCAGACAGTGCAGCTCTCCCTGCCCTCCCACAGCTTGATATCAGGCAGGTAATTAAGGCTGGATATTCCATGAAGAGCCATCCCCAGGAGCTCTCTCCCATCGTGGTTTGCCTGGGGCTCCCTGAGTTTTTCATCACAGAGAGGAGCTGGAGCACGGAGCCCCGACGAGGCCGCCAGGTTCATAAAGCTCTGCTTGCCTCTTCCCTTCCGTGTGACTCAAAAATCTTATTAGCCCGATAAAAGCTGAGAGCACCCTAAAGGCCAGTGTTTATTAGTCTAAATCTTTATGACTCTGCTTTATTATATCGAGGCAGGGAGGGAAAGCTCTGCGGGTTGCTGGGGTGGGAGCAGCGAGCGTGGCTGGAGCTGAGCCCTTCCTGCAGCCATCAAACAAACCCCAAAAGTGGAGGCACAGCCCTGGGAGTGGCTCTGGGCTTCAGTGGCACAGCCCACCCTGCACACTGAGAAATAAAGACAATTCTTTCCCATTTTAATTCTTTTTAAGGGTCACCCTCAAAAATTTTTCTCATCTCCATTTGCTTGAGCCCCCAGAAAATCAAAGCTTTGACGCTGGCGCCGAGGGGGGATCAGCACAACCGAGCCCAGCCTCACTTTTATGCTCTGAACCCTGATCAATATGCAGAGAACACAGCAAAAAAAGAAGAAGGAAAAAAGGTAAAAAGCAACGGATGCCTTTGCAAAGCTGCTTCTGCATCACTTAGCATGAGAGACCTTCCCTGGGAACAAAATCCCTCCCCACGTGCCGCTCCCACCGCCGGGGACAGCGGGGACAGGACAGGGCAGCACCGGCTGACCCTGCGTGACAAACCCCCGGCTGAGCCAGGAACACCAGGAATTGTCAACAGAAATCGTTATCAGCAATAACGCCAGGCAGCAATTAACCTTGTCAGTCACAGCTCACCCTTTCCTGACTGTGACCCACCGCCTC